CCCAGCCCCAGCCAGCCCCGGCCCTGGCCCTGGCCCCCGTTTGCGGAGGCATTTGGTGAGGCGCACTCCTCAACCAGCTTCGGGACAGGCGCGTCCCAGTCGCACACGAACACGCGCGCGCGCACTCTCCTACGGTCCAAGACCCGGCCCACTCGCTGCAGTGCTGGGTGGGTGGGTGCGCCTAGTACAGTTCTCCCTCTTCATCCTGGCCCCGTGGCGTCTCCACCGCAAACCAGACCCTCCTCTGCGAGCCAGGCCAGGGCAGTTCTCCATTTCTGACGACCTCCTCTCCCTTCACCCACCTCTCACATCCACCCTACTGTTCTGAGTCGTCGAACAGTACCAGTTTTGCGGACCAGACAGGAAAAGGGGGCATTAACTGAGCCTGTACTATGCGCCCGGAGCCACATGCACTTGTCCTTTGGCCTCAGAGCAGCCCTGTCACCTGCTTTTTGTGCCCAGTCCATAGCTCAGCCCACTGAGGTTGAGGGAGCTGGAGAAAAGATTCAGGCCCAGGCCTCCACTTTGAAAATTCCTGCTTCTTGTGGCCCTTAAAGCCTTACTTCTGCCACGTACCCCTTCTTGTTCCTGCCCCAGCAAGAAGCAGAACCCCTGTCTACGGCTCACCTCTTTCAGGAGGGATCTGATCTAGAAGGGGCCCTGGCCCTTCCCCCCAGCCCAGAACATCCCAGCTTACAAGCTTGCAGGGCCTGTGGGGATGAACCACGCGGATGATCTCCCCGGTGGGTATCAGCTCCACTTGCAGTGCCATTCTGCCCTACGGAGAGCCAGCAGCTGAGCACTGGGGCCTGTGAGCGAAGGCTGCCTGCCCGCCTGCTGGCTCTGGCCGCTCCCGGAGCCAGGAATCTATGGTCTAACGACGGGATGGCCACTTGGTTCTGCTTCAACTCCAGCCCCAGGGGATGTGGCTGGTCCAGCGCCTCAGGACACAGCTGGAGCAGTCCAGGTCTGACTGGGAGGCCTCTTGGCTCCGGAGGGTTGGGGCAGGAAGAGGAGGGGCTGAGGGATGGAGGAAATGCCTGCTGTCCCAGGTAACCAGAGGAGCTGATGCGGCCACCCATGGGGACCCTGGGCTCCAGGTCAAAGGGTAGGAGGGCTTTTGTCCCCCCCAGCCCCTAAGCTCTATGACTAGGCCTCTCCTGCTGACCCCCCTCTGATATCAGCTGGAGAGCACAGTGACCATTCCCCACACCAGAAGGCACATCCTCCCCTAAGCCAAGAGGGTAGGCATTGCCTCCTGCACACCCCCCAATCTGGCACCTCCCACAGCAGGTGAGCCCCTTGAGTTTGAGAGGCCAGACCTGCTGAGGGCTAGACATGCTGGGCAGAGGGGGTTATCAGGAGAGGTAAGAGGATACCGTGAGGAGGGCCGTGGACTTCCCTCCTCTTGAGTCTCAAGCACTTGGGAGGTTAGTTCCTGGGTTCCTTGGGTGTGGGCAACCTCCTTATGTCTCAGCAGTACCTCTAGGTGCACCCCACCCCTAATGTTCCTGTTTTTCTATCTTTATTACTGTTAAATCACAGCTGACACTTTCCTGGCCTGAGACTGAGCCCCCTGGTCTCCAGGCATTTCTTATAGGAAGTAAGAACAAGGAAGTGGATGGGGGAAACAGACCTTTCCAGAAGAACAGACTGGCATGGGAGGGGCTGAAGTTCAGCAGGCCTGTGCTGGCACCAACAGTCCCATGGGCAGGAACCTTCCCCAGGGCACCCTTCCCTTCCCTCCCCACAGCTTCTCCCGCCCCGGAAAGGCTAGCAAGGCTTCCTTCCTTCCTCTGGGAAGCACATCTATCCAGGTCAGGCTCATCCCCGGCGGCCACACAATGGCCCTTATCAGGCGGTGGAGCCAGGCACAGAGACCCAGCACACACCAAGTCTCACATATTTCCTGTTTCCACCCAGCGGGTCAGGGGTGGGCCCAGAGCGGCCATATCCTGACTGGGGCCAAGAGGACGAAGAGCACGCCCCCTTCCCCTTTCCGTCTCTCAATCACTGCTGGGCTCACCCCTCCCACGCAAGGAGGGCCCTGCAGCAGGAGGCAGGGAATCCCTGGAGTCCAGTGTTATTTTTTTTCAATGTCTTCCCACAATAATTTTGTGAATGTATACATAATTTGTATTTTATAAACAACTGACTCCTTTGTGGGTGGGCCCAGGCCCCATTCCTGTATTTCTGGTCCTGCATGGCAATATTGCTGCCTGTGTAACGTCCAAGGGCTTGCACTCTGTTTCTGAGCTTTGGTTTACCTATGTGCCAAATGAAGGGTGCTGTGTGGCAGCACTCATGAGGGTTGTGAGAAGGAACAGGTGAGCAAATTAGGGGACTCAGAACTCCCCGGGTGTATGTGCTGCTGGCAGGTATAGGCTACCATAAGGGAAAACTCAGCAGGAAGGATATGGGGAGAAGTGTGGCAGAGATAAAAGATGGTGACATTCTGCACAGTTTAATCCAGAAATAGGCTCAAGACTAAGGTGTGAGGAAGCAGCGGATGAGAAGGGATGACCTACTAAGAGCAAAGTACCTTTTCCAAAAGCTGTCAGTTCCAAGAAACCCCTGCTATTCAGCTGTTAACTAAGCGCCCAACAGCAAAGGTGGCACGTCCTACCTGGGGCAGGAACTCAGAGGGTCACCAGCCCAGAACCTTGTCCTAGTCCCATCCTGGCCACTTCTGCCAATCTGACATAGAAGGTCTAGTCTGGTTCTACAGGTCCCTTGTCCCTGAAGTCTAGTAGGGAGCCCTGAGCCCAATGCTATGTGCCTCACACCTCAGCCCCCATCATCAAGGAGTCACACACAAGTATAAAAGCCATATTTCTAATTACCCCCCCACAATGTAACAGACAAAGAAATAAACGGCCATGGCTGGCCAGAAGCCAGGGGACAGTTCTTGATACACATGGCTCCCAAGTTGGCATATGCAACTGGAGTAACCCTCAATTTCAGGTTGTGTGGTGGTATGACAGTCACTGAGCAGACTCCCTGAGGTGTCTTCTCCTGGGAAAAAGACTGTTGAGTCACCACTGGCAGGAGGCAAGTGGTAGGAGTAGGGACAGAACATGTCCACACAGCACCTGGAAAAGGCTTTCTGAAGACCCCAGGGGCAGATCCTCCGAAGTTTCTTGATTTGGTTCTCCTTTCTGCCTGCTCCCACTTCTAGGTCCCAAGGGGGTCGAGAGAGAGGAGGAGTTTCTGTTCAATGACTCTTGACCAGGGTGGGGCACATGAGCATGTTCTGGTGAGGACCACACTGGAAAAGTCTGTGTCTATAGCTCCTCTACCACCTGTTAACCCTTCCTAAGAAGGCAGGTTGGAGGCATAGGACCTGACTGACTCACCAGTGGAAGCTCACCAGGATCCTTCCAATTCTCTCTGTTCAGGCCCTGGATCTGCCCGGGTCAGACTTCATGCACGGGGGAAGAGGGGAGGTGGTGCTAGCAGAAAGACCCTCATCAGCCTACTCACAACCATTATATAAGCCTGACTAGAGGGGCCCCGCTATCTGCCCACTTAGTCATACTGCTTCTGTTGAAAGCAGGGAGCCTAGACCCTCTGTTCATCCCTCATGAGGCCAAGCTATGAGATGCCAAGACTCCTGGAACCCAATGTGGCTTGCGCCAGTCTATGGAGCCTGTACAAATGTGAGCATCTCCCCTTCCCAGGCAGCCCGAGGCCCAGTATGGCGTGACAAGAATGCAGGCCTGTGCCAGATGGGACATGTGCCTGGCAGGACTGCTAGGGCAGGACTAGAAGTGGGGGTGGGGAAACCAAGAAATGAGATGCAAGCTGGAGGGTCCTTCCCACATCCGGTGGACTGTCCCCAAGTCTTCACTGTTGACAAACTAGCTGGTTTCACGCACATCTCAGCAACAAAAACTTGTATTTAAGTGGCTGATTCCAGAGATCTGTACTGGAGAGAGGAAAGGAGTCTGGCTAGAACTTACTCTGTGAGGTGGGTAGGTGAAGGCTACTTGGTTGTTTCCTCAGGGAACTGGGTTGGGCCCCCAGCACTCCTGGCAGTGGTACGGTGGAGCTGGCTGTCAGCTCTGGCCTCTGCCCTGGATTCACTCCCATCCTGGCTCAGATCTGTGGTTGGGCTTCACCCAGTGGGTCCTCCCTCACAAAGGCATAAGGCGGGATCTGCAGGGATAAAACAGGTGGCAAAAGGGGGACGAGCAGGTATTCTTCCAGGCTTCCCATCACCCCCATTTCCCAGCTGAAGCAGCTCCACGGGTATTGTTGGCTCCTAGGCCTGTGGCCTCAGAGAACTGATGATGGGCTGAAGTCCTCTGTGACATCCTTCCCTTCTTCCCATCAGTATCCCTTACCTGGAAGGGTTTGCTTATCCCCACCAAAGAATGCAGATTGTTGCTGTAGTAACAGAGGAGAAACTGATCTTCAGTCTTAGGGATATCGCTGATATCCATGTATACCTGAAAGGGAGGATGAAAAGGAATGGGGTCAGCTCCAGGGCCCTGGGTTCCACTCAGCTCTCAGCGACAAGTTATCAGCACTCTGTTCCTCTCAGAAGACAGGAGTGCTCAGGCAAGCCCATATGCTGGAGATCTACCTGGTTCAGGTTGTCACTGAAGGAGATTTGGTTGTCTCCGACCCAGACATAGGACACGTAGTCATAAATGTCACACATTCCCACCTATGGGAGAGGGGATTGGGTGATCAGTGGTCAAGGAGGACATGGGACTATGGCAAGTCCTAAGAAGAGGCTGGCCTCCCTGCTGGGGCTGACTATCATATTGCATGCTTCTCCCTTCCCTCACTGCCAGCCTTTAGGTAGGCAAGAACCCCCGGGGTAGAGGAGAGTGAATTCTTCAATGTCTGCCCAGCTCCCATGAGCCTTCAGCAAGGATGAAGCAGGGGACTGTTGTTGGTGAGCTCCCTCCCTTGGTGGCCACATCACCTTGTACAGTCCAATCCAGTCCCAGGAACTGCTGGGGAAGTCTGGGGTTGAGGAGTAGCTGACTACCATGTCATTCTCCATGGTCCACAGGTCCTCGGGCATCAGGGTAATCAGTGGAGCTGACACCAATGGCTTCAGCTAGAAACAGGGGTGGGAACAGGGCTGAAATCCATAGCATTATTTCCTCCTCTGAGACAACTATTCCTCACTGTGTCCTTCCAACAGTGTGGAGAGAAGGGACACCCAGAGGGGGTGGGCATACAACTCTGGTAGATTGCTCTAGCTGACCTTAACTGGCCAGGGGAAAGAAGGGGTCAAAGGCCTGGGAGAGGGGTGGTTGGCCCTGCTAGAGAGATGGAGGCTGAAAGCAAAGTAGGTAATATAGGTACCCAAGTGCTAAAGGGTGAGGCAGAGGGGAGGACAGGGGAGTTGTTGAGAGGTTTAAGAAAGAAGCCAGGCAGTTGCTCTGAGGTTTCCAGGGTATCTGACCCAAAGCCCTGAATCTAATTTTGTAGAAAGGATGCTCTGATGAGAGCAACTGTAAGAATGTGGAAGGGCACAATGGTGTAAGGACAGAGAAACCAGCAAGAAAATATGAAGCTGTCAGGGCAGCAGCTTGAAGGAGGTCAACACTGCCTTGGTCATTAATGGCAAGATACAAGGATGGAGGGAGCTTCCTTTGCAACTTGATCCAGATAGGTTTAGGACAAATAAAAGGAAGTCCTAGTTCACACAGTGGGTAATAAGCGTAATGGAACTCATTAGCCCCAAGGGAGACTACCAAGAGGAAATGGAAACCTATTCACAAAGGGTTTGAACAAGTTTTCGACAGACAGGGCCATCAACGGCTCTTAAGAAGAGCTGGGATACCTGACCTGGGAGGAAAGGCAATCAGGGCCTCCTACAGGTCTCCCTGGGGGATTGGCTGACATTAGAATCCAGCTCTGGAGGGCTTGGGGATGTGGCCTAGCACAGCTATTCCTCTGTCAAGTATCAGGTAGTTCACCTCCAAGTCAAAGGTGCCAGTGACAGGCTTATGGTCACTGATGCTGTACGTCATGTGACTTTCGTAGCTCTTCAGAGACAGGGAGAACTGGGGGGTCAGCAGGTGGGGAGTGTGGGGGCCAGCCTGGGGCTGCCGCTTCAGCCTCCACAGGATGCGGTCGGTCCATGCAGGCTTGCGTTTTTTCTCACTGGGGGTGGGGAAGGAGGAAGAATGCGGAGAGAAGAAAGTGTTGGCATAGGAGCAGGAATGTACCTTCATGAGCTTGCTGGAGCCCCTAACTCCAGTGTCTACCAGCAGCCACAAGACCCCTGGCCCAGAACTGGAGGGAGCATGGCAGCAGGCAGGAGGGTGCTCAACAGAGTAAAAGGTATGCTGGCCTTAGTCAGACTTAGATACCTTTGATCTAGCCCACATATTTATGAACCAAATTGTGAATCAGAAACATTCCGCCAGGCATGGTTGCTCAAGTCTGTGATCCCAGCACTTTGGGAGTCCGAGGTGAGAGGAATGCCTGAGCCTACAGGTTCGAGAACACCCTGGGCAACTTGGTGAGACCTCATCTCTACAAACAAAAAAAAAAAAAAAAAGAAAGAAACACTCCATTTCAAAGCTTTTCTTCTTTCCTGAACAAAAGCAGCAGTAGATCAAAGAAGCTGAGGTTTGGATTTTGGACTTAGAATGTCTTGGGCTTGAATTTAGCTTCCCTGCTTACTAACGGTATAACCTCAGGAAAGGGAAGGGAAGCATTCAGGGAATGTTTACTACATGCCTGTGATCAATACTGTTGATCAGTATTTCTTCACCTCATTACAGGTAAAGAAATGGAGTCTTTCCCAAAGTCACACAGCTAAATGGTGGGGACAGGATTCAAGGCCAGGCAGCATGACCACTGAGTATGTGCTCTTCAGCAACAGGCCAAACTTCTTAGGCCTCAGCTTCCTCATCTGTAAAATGGAGATAGGCTGGGTATGGTGGCTCATGCCTATAATCTCAGCACTTTGGGAGATAGACGTAAAGAGGATTGCCTGAGCCCACGGGTTAGAGACCAGCCTGGGCAAACTGGTGAGACTTCATCTCTACAGAAAATAAAAAAATTAGCCAGGCATGGTAGCGCATGCCTATAGTTCCAGCTACTTGGAATGCTGAGGTGGAAGGATCACCTGAGCCCAGCAGGTCGAGGCTGCAGTGACCATGAACATGCCACTGCATTCCAACCTGGGCAAGAAAGTGAGACTCCAACTCAAAAATAATAAAATGGAGACAATCATAGTAGTTACCTCACAGGATTGCTGAGATGATTAAATGATAAAGCACATAACACATTTGGCACAGTGCTTGGTACAAAATGAGCTTTCTACAGACACCGGTCATTGTGATTATTTGTTCTCCAGTTGACTGAGACACCTCCCACCTGTTCTTTACAAGGGGCAAAAGAGAAACTGTACAGCCCCTGGAGACACAGTGCTTTTCCTCCTTGAAGTAAATGAAGTGGTCCAGACAAGCAAGTCTTTGACCCCTAACCCAGCCTTTCCAAGCAGCTACTGGGGCATTCTCTAAAGCCAGCTTGGCCCCCACAGCCCAATCTTCTGGAGACCACTGGCCCTGAGTCCTGGAATGGGGGCCCTGAGTGTGTATATGGGGGGGATAGGACAGTTGCTACAGTTGTTGTTTCTGCGTTCCGCTTCCTTGGAAGAGGATCCCCTTTCTTGAATGAACTTAGAGTAGTAAAGCCTGATCAGATGATTCTCTACTTTAAAGCCCTTTTAAAATTTTTATTTAGAGATGGGCCCTCACTGTCACCTGGGGTGCAATACAGTGGCTCAATTATGGCTCAATGCAACCTTGAAGCGTTCCTTCTTGCTCAGCCCCCCTGAGGAGCTGGGACTACAGGTTGAGCCACCATGCCTGGCTATTTCAAAACCTTTAAGGAGTCTTCAGTGCCTCCAGAATAAAGTTCAAGTTCCCAAGCAGGGCTCTCACACCATTCCCCAGACCCACCCTACCCTGATGAGTCTCAAGCCTCTGGACCTTTGCTCTCGCATCTTTTGCTGCCTGGGACACCCTTCTTCACCAGGTAGGGGCCCAGTTCCAACGCTGCCTTTGTCATAAAGCCATCCCAGACCTCACCTTTCTCCTTCCAAAGCATTTTATACTAGTACTCATACAATTATGCTATATTGTAAGTTTCTGCTTCCCAGTCAGCACACCAGGTAGTGTGTGAACTCTGAAGGCAAGGACTGGCCCTGGGAGTTGCCTGTGTATCCTCAGCATTAGTACAGATCCTGGCACATAGTTACTCAATAACTGGAAAACTAACCAAAAGCCCAAGCTCAATCTCTCTCCTCAAAAATGCCCACCTAATCTGAGTGGTGAACTCAGGTTTTAGAATCAGAGACCAAGTCGGGGAAGACCAAGCTCATGTTAATTAAGAGCTACATATACTCACAGCTAGTTGGAAACACTGTTTTAATCTCCTGCTTTATTCAATTATTATTATTATTATTTTTTGAGTTGGAGTCTCACTCTGTCGCCCAGACTGGAGTGCAGTGGCACACCCCCGGTCACCACGACCTCGACCCGCTGGGCTCCGGCAATCCTTCTGCCTCGGCCTTCAGAGTAGCCGGAATGACAGGCATTTGCTACCACGTCCGGCTGATTTTTTTTTTTTTTTAATTGTAGAGATGAGGTCTCGCTAAGTTGCCCGGGTGGGTCTCGAACCCACGGGCTCAGGCAATCCACTCACCTCGGCCTCCCAAAGTGCTGGGATTACAGGCTGAGCCACCAACCCCAGCCAATGATTATTTTAAATAAACATTTCCAAGGTACTGCTGTCACTTCAGTGCAGTAAATATTCCAGCAGTTGAGGAGACCAGCGTCATGGTGATGAACTCAGGCTCTAGAATCAGGACCAGTTAGGGGAAGGCTCTGTCCTGTTAAAGAGCTGTATGCCCTTGGGCAAGTGACTTCACCTATCTAAGCCTCAGTTTCTTCAACAGTAAGATGCGTGATAACAGTACTCATTTCAAAGAGCAGTTGTGAGGATTAAGGAAATTAAAGGGCCAAGGGAGTAGGCCAGAAGCAGTAACTCTGGCCAAACCACAGCCTGCTTCTTGGCTCCCTAGGTTGTTTCCAAACTTTTGCTCTTTTTAAATTTTTTGAGTCAGAGTCTCACTCTGTCGCCCAAGCTGGAGTGCAATGGCACACTCATGGCCACTGCAGCCTCAACCTGCTGGGCTCAGGCTATCCTTCTACCTCAGTCTTCCAAGTAGCTGGATCTACAGGCGTGCACCACCAAGCCCAGCTAATTTTTTGATTTATTGTAGAGACGAGGTCTTGCCAAGTTGTCCAGGCTGGTCTTGAAACCTTGGGCTCAGGTAATCCTCTCGCCTCAACCTCCCAAAGTGCTGGGATTACAGGTGTGAGCCACCATGCCTGGTTTCCAACCTTTCACTCTTCTGAAGAGTGTTCAGAAGACATTGGAATGTAGTATTCCCATCCCAGAAACTACAGAAACAGAATCCCTATATCTACTTTTGACATTAGGTGCCCAGCAATGCTCACAACTTGGCAATGAACTACACCAATACACCTCTCTTTGAAAGGATTCTTCTTCCTCCCCAACTTCCCTATGATGGTTAAAAGCCCATACTTGCTCTCACGTCAGGATCCTCCCTGAGTCCTGACCACGGCCTGTCTCTCCTTCCTCCTAAGAACTTCTCAGCCTGCCCCCTCCCCCTTCTCCTTTTCCATGCCCTGGTCAGGTTCATAACTGGGCACCAGTATTGCTCATTCTTTTTTTTTTTTTTTTTTTTGAGTTGGAGTCTCACTCTGTCGCCCAGACTGGAGTGCAGTGGCTGCTCCCGGCCACCGCAGCCTTGACCTGCTGGGCTCCGGTGATCCTTCCGCCTCAGCCTTCTGCGTAGCCGGAATTACAGGCATGCACTACCACGCCCAGCTGATTTTTTTGATTTACTGTAGAGATGAGGTCTCGCTGCCCAGGCGGGTCTCAAACCCGCGGGCTCAGGCAATCCACTCACCTCAGCCTCCCAAAGGCGCGGGATTACAGGCTGAGCCACTGAGCCCGGCTAGTATTGTTCATTCTTCCGTCCAAGACTACTTAGCTCTTATGATATGCCAGGCAAATGGGGACATGATAAATAGGACTGACAAGGTTCTTGTGAAACTTGTTTGACAAACAAAAGCCAAGAAACACATAAGCAAAATAAATCTGTACAAAATGAAACACATAAGTCAATAAACACATAAGCAAAATAAATTTGTACAATATGAAATACTACATATATTTTCTAAGTTCCCCATTTCTAATAATAGTAATAGCTAACAATTGGGTTTTTCTGTGCACTAGGCACTGGGCACTGTGACAGATATCTTATAAATTGTTCTAATCTTTCAACAATCCTAAGTTACAGGTCACATTTTTCTCCTTTTACAGTAGGACACTGAAGTTTGGAGGCTCTGTGTCCGGATGGAAGCAGATGCTTGTCCAGGTCAGCTGACTGACTACACATCCATGTTCCTTCCACTGTGCTCCACTGTCTCCTCCAACTGACCCCACCGTAATCCATGCATATGGTGCAAGCTATCTTCCAGCATTCATCCCCAGGGCAGGGCCTCACTGATGCCAGAGACAAGAATTGTTTTTAGTGATTCTTTTGACTTAAGAGTGGCTGGGCCTGGTGGCTCAGCCTGTAATCCCAGTACTTTGGGTGGCTGAGATGAGTGGTTTGCCTGAGCCTGCAGGTTCGAGACCAGCCTGGGCAACTTGGTGAGACCTGTCTCTGCAATAAAATAAAAAAATAGCTGGGTATGGTAGTTCCCACTAATTGGAAGGCTGAGGCGGAAGGATTGTCGGAACCCAGCAGGTTGACGCTGGGATGGCTGTAAACGTGCGTGTCACTGTACTCCAGCCTGGGTGAAGGAGTGAGACTCTAATAATAAAAAAAACAAAACAAAACTGAGACCATTTACTAACCCCAAAGCAGTGATGTGCTCCATTTCTGTGTCCAAAAGTGCTTTTCTTTTCACCTTTCTACAGATGACTTTTTTTTTTTTTTGAGTTGGAGTCTCACTCTGTTACCCAGACTGGAGTGCAGTGGCATGCTCCCGGTCACTACAGCCTCAACCTGCTGGGCTCCGGCGATCCTTCCGCCTCAGCCTTCCAAGTAGCCGGAACTACAGGTGCACGCTACCACCCCCAGCTAATTTTTGATTTATTGTAGACACGAGGTCTCGCCAAGTTGCCTGGGTGGGTCTCGAACCCGTGGGCTCAGGCAGGCAATCTTCTAGCCTCGGTCTCCCAAAGTGCTAGGATTACAGGCTGAGCCACCAAGCCCGGCGTACAGATGACTTTTAAGTGTCTTTTTTTTTTTTTTGAGTTGGAGTCTCACTCTGTTGCCCAGGTTGGAGTGCAGTAGCATGCTCATGGCCACCACAGCTTTGACCTGCTGGGCTCAGGTGATCCTCTCACCTTGGTCTCCCAAAGTGCTGGGATTATAGGCATGAGCCACCGCACCTGGCCTTGTTTTAAGTGTCTTATCGAACTTGGGCTATGTTTGACCTGCCAGGCACTTTAAGTCTCTAGGATACAAGTCTCGACTAGATTTGGTCATAATATCTTCTGGTCATTGCCTACTGGGAGGTTGTCTGAGTTCATAATAGTGACTGTAACAAAACCCTAGCACAATCCCTGATTTCCCGCCCTGCCCTCAGCCCTTTTACTCTGCCCTGTAAAGGGAGCTGGCCTCGTGCCTCACTGCATCTTGGCTTGGGGACACTGCAGTGGCTGGTCAAAGCTGCATACACATCATCCATAGTGACTTTTTGAAGCTTGGCCCAGCCAAGGCCTCTGCTGGGTCAGGTTTCCCTCCAGGCCTCTCCCCAGTGCTGCTGACTGATTGGAATGCCTGTCCTTCTCCTTTCTGCCAGACTCTGCTGCCTCCTTCAAGATACTCTCCCCCTTGAGGATGAGTCTGACTGACCCCTCCCAGCCTCAAATGACTGCCCCTCTACAGTCCACTCCAGTCTTCCACACAGAGTTCTGGAAACCTTCTACTGGTAAAACTCCTGGGCTTGATAGTGTTTATTTGAATCTCTTTGCCACAGATGGATCCATCGTTCAGATGGATCTGCACTGGCTGCTCCTTAAAAACTATGTCTCTAGCCGGGCTCAGTGGCTCAGCCTGTAATCCTGTGCCTTTGGGAGGCTGAGGTGAGTGGATTGCCTGAGCTCGCGGGTTCGAGACCCGCCTGGGCAGCGAGACCTCATCTCTACAATAAATCAAAAAATCAGCTGGGCGTGGTAGCGCATGCCTGTAATTCCAGCTACTCTTGGAAGGCTGAGGCGGAAGGATCGCCGGAGCCCAGCAGGTCGAGGCTGCGGTGGCCGGGAGCAGCCACTGCACTCCAGTCTGGGCAACAGAGTGAGACTCCAACTCAAAAAAACAAAAAAAGACAAAAAAAAAAACTATGTCTCTTCCTTTTGTCTTCTCAGGCTCCCAATTCAAACATATGCCAGGCACTTTACTACATACCAGGGACGGTACTAAATCTCAGCTCTAGGCATTCACAGTACAGCAAGGAAGGCCCAGCCTTCAAAGCAACACTGAAAGCATAGTGTGTGCAAGGCTTGGTGGCAGCACAGGGCAAGAGAACTCTCAGTGAAATGGGGAAGGGTCAGGGAAGGCTTCCAAGGAGAGATGATGTCTGAACTGGACTTTTAAAGGTGAGTAACAGTTTGATTAGACAGGAATGTCTCTGTTCCCTCGGTGGGCTCTGGATTTGACCATCCTAGGAACTCTCAACTGCCCCAGCCAGGAATATTTCAGTTATAATGCCCCTTGAAATGCTCCCTGTTCCTGTCCAGACATTCCTTCATTTCCTGGGCTCCAGGCAAGAAGGGGTACTGAAAACTATGGGTCTACAGAAACACGCATTGCTCAATCACTAAGTCTGTTACTACCTTACTTAGGTGTTCTCTGAGGCCCAGATCTCTTGTTTGTAAAGTCATTAAGAATGCTGTCTATCTAATGAGCAAATGGTAGGTGAGGTGATACAGGCAAGTACCTTAGCAAGTGTTTGCCATTGTGATCCTGCCCTCCTTTATGCTGCTGCTGGCAAGATGCTATGAATCCTGAGGTACTATGGGACTGAGGAAAGCACTGTGGTCCAGAGTCCAAAGGATCAGATCCGAGTCCCAGCTCCGCCACTCACTAGCTGAGCCACCTAGGAAGTCCTTTAATACCTGTGATACTCTCTATCCCATCAGATACTGCTAACTCCAGCCCAGACCTAGCTTTGTGTGTGTGTGTTTCAGGATCTCACTCTGTCACCTAGGTAGTGGTAAAATCACGGCTCACTGTAGCCTTGACCTCTTGGGCTCCGGCGATCCTTCCATCTCAGCCTTCCAAGTAGCTGGAACTACAGGCATGGGCCACCACACCTGGCTAATTTTTTGATCTGTTATAGAGATAAGGTCTCGCCATGTTGCCCAGGCTGGTCTTGAACCCATTGGCTCAGGCAATCTTCTTGCCTCTGCCACCCAAAGTGCTGGGATTATAAGCCTGAGCCACTGTGCCCGCAATTTAAAAATTTTCTTGTAGAGACAAGGTCTAGCTATATTGACTAGGATGGTCTTGAATTCCAGGGCTCAAGAAATCCTCCTGCCTCGGCCTCCCAAAGTTCTGGGATTACAGGTGTGAGTCACTGCGCTCAGGCCAGTCCCAGCTTTCGCACAGACTTCCAGTCTCTTGGAGGTCTCCCTACCACGTCCCAGGGGAAAGGGACAGCTGGCCATATCACCTGTCAATAGTTATCTTCCTGCTGGTGAGTTGTTTTTTTTTTTTTATTTGAGGTGGAGTCTCACTCCGTTGTCCAGGCTGGAGTGCTGTGGCACACTCATGGCCACCCCAGCGTCAACCTGCTGGGCTCCGGCAATTCTTCCGCCTCTGCCTTCCAAGTAGTAAGAACTACAGGTGCACACTACCATGCCTGGCTAATCTCTGATTTATTTGTAGAGATGAGGTCTCACCAAGTTGCCTGGGCTGGTCTTGAATCCGCAGACTCAGGCAATCCATTCGCCCCTGCCTCTCAAAGTGCTGGGATTACAGGCTGAGCCACCAAGCCCAGCCCTGGTGAGTTATTTTTTTTGAGTTGGAGTCTCACTCTGTCACCCAGACTGGAGTGCAGTGGCACACTCCCAGCCACCGCA